TTGGTGTTGTTGCTGTTTTGTTGTACATTGTTGTTTGGTTTTGCTCTTCTTCGGTTTTTTTTAAAGCAGCACCTACAGTTGCTTTTGCCATTCTAAAATAAGAATGCCAGTGTCAGATGTAGAGGCGCCACAGACCCGAGAACGAGGACGGCAGCACAGGGATGGAGCACAGACCCCGGCCGCAGTGATGGAGGTGCCTGTGAGAACAAGAACTGGGGCGAGGGACCGCCTCACCCAGGCTGCTCCGGGCTGGGAGCCATCAGCGGCACGGACGAGTTTCCCCCTTCAGCTGTGAAAGACCTCAGGGAGAGAGAGGGAGGACTGGGCAGATCACAGATGAGGCTGTACAAGAAAAGAGAAAATGGCAGGGGCTGGGGAGTTGGGGGGACCCCATTTTTTAAATATCAGGGATTTAAAAATGTCAAGTCTTCAGATTACCTGCCCCTTTGAGGAGAGAAAGAGTGGCCAAATGCTTCATAGTTCATGTTCTGGGTGTGTGGGGCCAGAAATGCCCTCGGGAACTGTCAGTAGACCAGTGGGTCCCCAGTGGGGACACATGAAAGTGAGCGGGCAGCCTGGCTGTCAGCGGTAGGAACCTCTCAGAGAGCAGCCCTCTCTCTAGCCCTCCTGGAAGAACTCGGTGCTTCTAGATTGACAACACGTGTAAGCAGCAGTGTTTGCCTCCTCAAGGGCTGGAATCATCTTCCTTTTAAATGTTGTGTGAGCTTTTGGCAACAAAAAGAAAGAAACAGGAAAGGGCAAGAGCAAGACAATCTGGTAGAAGGGGCACGTTTTCTCAGCAAAATTCTTGTCACCCAGTCCTTGCTGTCTCCGGAGAACGGGCAACTGCGTTGTCATTCGGAGAAAGAATTCCTCGGGCGACCTACCTGGGCTTTTCTTGTCCAAGGCGTTTCTCTCAGTTTCTTCAAACTAAGACAAGCGCATTGCTGAGAGGGCTGGTGTGTTTGGTGTGGACCCAGCTGGTCTGAGCTGTAGCTGCCCCTTGTGATTCGCCCTCAGACAGAAGTAGGCAGCCCGAGGAGATAGGAAGTCTTGATGCCTGCCACGACGTGGATAACCCTTGAAAACATGTTAAGTGAAGTCAGTCAGTTGCAAAAGGACACATATGATCTCACTTACATGGAATAGGCAGGTGTACAGAGAGGGGAGGAAGGCGGTGTGGTTTGGTTTATGCTTGTGATTTTTTTTGTGGGGGGCATTGAGTTTGTGTTAATGG